AGACAGGATTCCTCCATGCAGTCATTGGCCTTTTAATAAAGACTCCTGTTGGGCCCCTAACCACTCCAAACCAGCCCTAGTCTCTGACTGGTCATTCTCAGCCAGGTCACCATGCTCTCCCCTACCACTTGTGAAAACCCTAGGCACTCCCTTCCAGCCCCTAATTCAGTTACAGGAAAACTCATTTTTCTCTGTAATAGGCCACATTCATATCAAACTGTTCTGCCACCCTGTCAACCTTTAAGAAGCTTCTGTATGACAAAGGCAACAGTCATCTCAGGGAAGAGATAATCTACAGAACAGGAGGACATATTTGAGTACTCCCAGAAGGGAATATTACACGTTCACAATACTTGAGAGAAACAAGTACTACAATTATTTTTAATGAAGGAATGAATGGTTTTAATAGGCATTTCCAAAAAGAAGAAATGCAAATGGTCAAAAATGTATGGAAATAAAACATCAGGTATGTTGATTGCAAAGTTGCTTTTCTTTGCTACCCTGCTGGAATATTTAACCAACCAATTAAAGAGAAGTCATGATAACAGCAGATGGAAATAAGGTTTGATGAATCACATTGTCTGCTCTCATTACTAAAAGAGTAAGGTAGATGATAGCTTAGCTCTATTAAAGTCTATACAGTGATTTTTAGTAAATGAATAAGATAGATGATGCATAAGTCAATGAAAGGTTCAGTGATATTTCCAAGTAACATCAGACTCTGGTTCATGGAATGTAGACCAAAGATTAAAGGTTCAAGAAGGGAATTTGCATTGAATTAATAATTAATCAAGAATTGGAAGAGAACAAAGACACCATATTGTCCAAAAAGAAATGTGCTCATTGCCTGACATTAAACAGTAACCCCTCTGTACATTGTTTATAATAATTTAAAAAATTTTAAATAGTTAACTAAGAATCTGAATTTGCAAGTTCACTTCACCAAATACTGCAACATTAATCTAATAGTTAGAAATAGAAGACCACAGGTGAAATGATTCCATTTTATCTTAAATTTCCTTGGATCTAATATATCCATGCAAAGTTTATTTTTGTATAGGGTGTAAGATGGTGATCTACTTTCTGTCTCCTGCATTTGGAAAGCAAGTTTTGCCAAGACTATTTTTTAGAAGAAGCTATCTTTTACACAGTGTATATCTTAGACTCATTTACAAAAAATTAGTGGCTGTAACTGCAGAATTTATTTCCAGGTCTTCTACTCTGTTCCATTGGTTTGTATCTATTTTTGTGCCAATACCATGCTGTTTTTGATACTACGTCTCTGTAATATAACTTGAAGTCTGGAATTGTGATACTTCCAGGGTTGCTCTTTTGTTTAGGATTGCTTGGTCTGTGTGGAGTCTTCTATGCCTTCCTATTAATTTTAAGGTAGATTTTTCTATCTCTGTGAAGAATGACATTGCAATTTTCATGGAAATTGCACTGAATCTGCAGCTGGAGTTCAGCTAAAGGATTTATGATTTTGATTGAAATTGTAAAGAACCTGTAGATTGACAGCAGCTGAATAATTGATGTTCTTTCTTTCCCAGCTCTCTTCTCTTTCCCAGCTCTTTCCCATCTCTCTTTTTCCAAGCTCTCTTTCTTTCCCACTCTCTTCTCTTTCCCAGCTCTTTCCCAGCTCTCTCTCTTTCCCAGCTCTCTCTCTTTCCCAGGCCTTTCCCAGCCACATGGAGGGCCAACATGGCCTGCTGCCAGCCAGAACAATGAATAAACCTACCCCTTACCTGAAAAAAAAAAAAAGAATATATAGGACATTGCCTCATCATTTGTTAATTAATGGACAACTTAACTGATTTCATATATGGATTGTTGGAGAACTTTAAAATGTAAGGAGAAGGGCCTTGATGGGTTAGTCAAGAGATGAGAATATTCTCAGTAAATAAGTCTTACAATTATACAATGTGCAAGATGAAAACAATAAGTAGTGATGATTTCTGAATGGTGGACCAAGAATGTACAATCAACCCCTTAATTATGTTTTTGCAGCTTTTGAAATTAATGTTTATTGGTTTTATAATCAAAGAAAAGTGTTTACAAGTAAAATGGGAAATGTCCTGACCTGGACAATGAGAAAGAAATAGAATACCCTGGAAGATAGCCAGCACTGAATACTTGAATATCAATTACCCTTTCTCTAGTCTCAAAACTCACTTGGTGATCTTCGTTTTAAAATTGTCCCTATTCACAATTACACTTTGGCAGATTTCCTCCCACATGACATATTGCAGCGTTACGCTACCTCCTGACTTGACTTACTGACCTGGGTTGTATTTCATGGTTGTGACCTCATTGTTCACCTTTCTTGAGAGAACGTTTCCTTTATTTTAATGTGAACCTTGCATGAATTCTAACCTCCAACTCCTCTACTGGACATGATAGATTTTCTCTGTGTGAAAGGCTGGACAAATGACCAGAAATACTTTGTGCCACATGTGCCACACATCACAAGTGAGGGTAGTATCTCAACAAACTGATTGTGAAGTCTGCTTCTCTGCTCACTTGACTCCAGTTGCCTATAAGTAACTTTGTAAGGTGTGTGTCTATGTGCATGAATGCTGGTACAGGGGCTTGAAATCAGGTCCTTAGTGGTAAATATTTCCTCCAACAGCTGAAAAATAGACCTGTGCAGTCCATAGAACTATCTCCAATGTAGCTCATATTTTAGGGCTTAAAGCAAGTATTCGCAAATACAAGAAAATAGAATTAACTCTCTGTTTTATATCTGATAGTAGCAAATTTAAGTAGAATGAAGAGAAACAGAACAAAATATGGACAAATTTAGTAAGGAGGCAGAGATTTTGAGAAAATGCCAGAATAGACCTTGGAAATGAAAAAATTTCAATATGTAAGATTTATACAATCTTGCATGATAGACACAGCAATAGCTTAGATCAAGAGGAAGAAAGAATAGCTGCACCTAAATATAAGTCATTCAATATGTTAAATTTAGGAAGAAATATTTTTAACAATTTAAATGAACAAAGCATACAAAATTTCTGAGAAACTACTAAAAGAGTAAAAGTTCAGCTCACTACCATACATGAAAGTGAAAAGAACTATCAACTTCTACAACAAATCAGGAAAATACAAACAGATACTGCAAACAAAGATGAACAAACTGCTAGAAACAAACACATATTTCACATATATCATCTCTTTCAATAATCTTCAGAATGTCAATTGTCTTACTTTATCAATTAAAGGACACAGAGTGACCGAATGGACCTCCAAAAGAAAAGAAAACTAGCAAAAATACAATCTTTCCCTGAAGAAAGGCAGAAGGTTGAAATGAGCTAGAAAAGAGAAATTTCTGGCTCTGGTCATTTTTCCAAATTGTTGCAAGCCTTAGGGATCAAGCTATCAAATGCTCTTGGTCTCAAAGTTGGAATATATACTTCTACCAAGGGTTTAGAATCCTAGTTCCTTATATGCAAGAGTTGTAAGGTTTGTTGTTGTGGGACTTGAAGACAACTGGAGTCATAATATTAGAAATGGTCACCTGTTCCTTCTTACCGCTGTCTGTTGCCACTTCCTATTGCTACTGTGTATCAAGGAGTACAATAACCACCAAGTTATAGGACCCCTGGTGGTTAAAGGCAAGAGTAATGAGCCTCCAACCTGCATAAGACTCTGGATGTGGACATCAAGAGTTTAGGCTCATAGTATCAGGGATTTGAGCTGGAAATCTCTGAGGTTGCCAATCCACTTACCAGACCTTAGAAATTCAAAGATCTGAGATTGCCAGTGTTGGAAGAGCTTCTCACCTAGTAATAATTCCTCTCCAATTAGACCCCATCAAGCTAAATGGGATCACTCTGACATGTCATGTAATTTCAGGGGTATATATGAAATATAGATGTATCCATGGATGTAAAAAAAAAGCAAAGTGTTTTAGTGTTTTAGAGTCGATAGTCATAGTGTAGTCCAAAAGTTGAAGCATCTTCAGTACAATTCTTCTGAATTTTTAAATTATGGTTTTATTATCTTTAAATTGTCATACAAAGGAATTAATTTGACACAACTGTTTGTCAGTAGAATCAATGGATCTTGATTAGTGGGACTCCATTTGTCATTCCCCCCATTCTTCCTATTTCATAATTTTCTTAATTTTGTAGGATATGCATTAAATTTTATGACTTCATGCTCACTCCCTCCTCAACTTCCTCTCTTTCCTTGTCTATTGCTATCCTCTTGACCCTGGCCACCACATTGCAAGTGTTTCCTGGTATTCATTTTGTTGAAGTATGTGTTAGCCTTTCTAAGAAATTGTCCCATTTGAATTCTCCCCTGAAAATGTCATATTTTGTCTAATATAGTGGTGTCTAATATATGACCTTTATGGGTTTGCTAAGACATTTACAAGTTAATTCTAGATTCCATATAGAAGAGAAAACATTTGTGCTTTGTCTCACTGGGCTTGACTTATTTCACATAACCATTTTTTCTAGTTCTATCCATTCCCTTGCAAGTGTTGGAATATCCTTATTCCAAATGGATGAATAAAATTACTGTTGCTGGGTAGCTTTGTACAATAGTGGGAAAAAGCACAATGAAATTGCCTAGCATTTTGGATTCTAATTTTCTTGACTGGCTATTTACTTTGTTGGTGGTCCCAGTTGCATGTTTGTTACAATCTGTCTAATATAAATTGGAAGTGTAAAGTTTACTTTCTGTACAGGCACAGAAAGTGCTATCATTTTGTTGATGTCACTCGATGTGCTGAATTTCCAAGGAATTTCTAGTTATCATGTCAATTAATGATCGCTAAAATATATTGCTTTCAGACATAGTGCAAATAATAGTTCCCATCCCCCCCCCTTTTTTTTGTTTGTAGTGGGACTTGAACTCTGGGCCTGTTTGCTGTCCCTGTGCTCTTCAGCTCAAGGTGAGCGCTCTACTGCTTGAGCCACAGCTCCACTTCTGGTTTTCTAGTGGTTTATTAGAGATGAGTCTCATGGACTCTCCTGCCCTGACTGGCTTTGAACTGTGATCCTCCAATCTCAGCCATCTGAGTAGCTCGGATTACAGGCGTGAGTCACCGGCGCCTGGCTCCCACTTTTCCTTTTATAATTAATGCTAGGTATGTCTCAGATTGGCACTGGGTAAAATGTATTAAAGATCCTTTCTATCTTTTGTATGTACTTTGCAAAAAGGCATTTGACAGTACATCCCAAGCACAGATAAGTTCAATTCAACCTATTCGGGCTTCACCTTTCCTCCTTCCTCATTATCTTCCCTGCATGGTTCTCCCTCTAACATCTTTACCTAAGCCTCCCACAGGAATACCTCTCAGATTCCAGTAGCTGTGCTATATCTTGCCTGGTAGGGAGCTATATAATATATCCTTGCAATGTGTACCTTAGCTTCAAGACTTAGAACCATGAACTAAGCTCAGTGGTTTGTTGAGAATAACGACTGATAACTTCCTGTTAACTGATATTTCTCTGGAGCCCAAAAACGACCCATTCCTATCCTGAAATAGCTATCAGAGAAGGGTTTCCTGACATCTTACCACAGACTAAATCAAATCATTTTTCAGTCATAATATTCAAAAAGAAGCAAGTCACACAAGTATTGAGATAATCAAAGATCTATGGAGAAAATCTCATATTTGTTTGATAACAAATTCAATGCCTTCTCTATGAAATTTGTGGATTTAGTTTAAGCTGAGTATGAATTTCTAAGCAGCATGAATTGACAAGTGATGGGTCCAATCATCAGCATCTGAAAGTTGTCCATCGATCTCTAGATAACTTCAGGCAAGATCATGAAAAGAGCTTTCGTGTTAATACTCATCAGTGAATGGAAAATTTCGATGGTCTACAAATCTAAAATGAGAAAGAAAAATATAAGCATCATGGTCTTGATCATCCTATTTCTACAGAATATGTGACATCTATGTATCACTATGGTAAAAGTTAGAATTTTATTTTCTAACTAGATATATTAAATACTACTCATTAAATACTAATATTTGCACTAATGATAATATGGCTTTATAAGTAATTCTGTAAGATACCATAACTAAATTATTCATCATGCATTCTCTGCTTAGACTAGATACACAAAACACACAAGCATTGGCTGATGTGACTCTCTTTTCCCTATATCTATCTAACATCCTAAACAATAAAAACAAAGAAAGCCTATCCTATTTCAAATTCTAACTGAAAGTAGAAACTGGTTATATCAGGTGTAGTGAAGTACAAATCCAATATTAACTAACAGAAAACAATGTAGGGTGCACCAATTGTGTTAAAAGTCAAGTATGGAGAGAATGTCACTTAAGATAGTTCTCCATTTCCAGATTCCCATCTAATTGGTAGGTTTCTAAATATCAATACCACACACACTAGAAAGTAATACAAATCATTATTCCTTAACACAGTAAATGACAAGAATGTTCTGTCTCTTTGCATTATGTCCCTATGTGGTCCTTCACTTTTTTCTATATTAACAAAAATATTAACAATAATGGAGCAATACATATACTAATTTTTGTGAACATGGATTCTCTAATTCCCTTTCAAATATGATCATATTCATTTCTGTTATAAGTTAAAATCCAGTAGGCACAAGAGATATGCATTCCTTGTTTACATTTGTTTATGATTTTTGTCAAGTATTAGTCTATATCCCAGAACATAAAAAACTGGTAATGGTTTCTTGAACTCTACATTCTCTTCAGCAATGGAAAATCTTAAGTATGCACTCTTCCTTAGATATCAAATCTCTCTTCTCAAAAACATCTTTATCTTCTGCACTGAGATATCTATAGCTCAGAAACACAAAACTAAATGTCCTGGTGGCAATACAAGTGGAAATTCCCTGAGAGAAAAATGTAATGTTTGAATTCTGAACAAGTGTACCTTGAAAAAGAAAGGAGAGACTTGAAACTAAAGAAAATTCAGACAATATTTTTGCCCAAGTTCCTTACCCAAGACCTTGAAGATATCGAAAATTTCTGTTCAAGCCTTCTAAGACTTTCATGTATTCTAAAGGCAACTGGAATTCAAAAGTCTATCATACAAGTAGACAAGTTTTACGATTCTTAAATTGTACATTTGCCAATCTTAGAAATTCAAGTGAAACAGATTTAATAATACAAAGTCAAAACACTCAAGTAGCTAAAGGAGAAATACATTCGAGATAAAATATGTTGATATGGTAGAACATTATAGGAATCACAAAAGACAGTGGGCATGAACAAAGTTGATATAGTTTTGATTGCAGTCTAATGTACATAGAAGTTAACAAAGCTACTACTGAAAAGGTTTTTATGTATGCAAGACAACTTAGCAATTGTTAAGGACAATGTTAGGTGTCTCTATGACATTGCATACACTTAAAATGTGACCATGTTCTTTTCCACAGGGTTAAATTCACACTTTGCCCTAATGTTAATGAAATATTAGATACCAAAGAGGCTAAAATGCTAAAACTCATGGTTCAGTGCTAGTCTAGACAGAAAAATCTGTGAGATACTACCTCTACAGCACCAGCAAAATTACTCTTTGGAAGCAAAACTGTCAAACTCTTGGTAGATAATTTGGTTGAATATTCTTGTATTCCAAAGAAAAGACAGGACAGTCATCAACCACATCAACTATAAAGGCATGATGACTATAGTTAGAGAAGGAACTTTTGCTTACGTAAAATATACCCAAGATCAAATAAAATCATTGATAGAAATTTTGAGAAGCTACTAGAACAAAAATATCTGCATGTGCAAAAGATTCTCGAGAATGTACATTACTGACAAGAAGCAAACTTGCTTCTCAAGAAATACATATCCTCATGTCTCCAACACTCTTTGCTGTATACATTGACAAACTCTTCTCCTAATGAATGCTATTTCCCCACTCATTTAATGTTGCTTGGTTTGTAAACTGCATTGTCCATTAGAGCTTGGCAAAAGAATTATGTGCTAATTCTGATCTAAGGCATGAAACAGTTTGGCAATTCTCTTCTTACCTCCTTTGGATAGTATTATATGAGAAAAATCTTTGGTCTAGTTGTCTAGTGAATGACAAACCACGTGGAATATTGCTGAGACCTACCATGCAAAAACCAATCAGCATCCTGATACATTTGTCCAAAAAATATTAGAGAATTTATTATAAATACAGGAGAGGTTTCAACATACAAAGGACTTCATTTGGCTAAGGCCAAACAAATTGTCCAACAATGCATTCTCCACCTAAATGAAGTTACTCTGTATTAAACTTGTTTGCCTCAGAGGTGGATCATATTGCATCTTGTATAGGTGGAAAAAATTTCAATCTTAGAAAAGTTGTAGAGCACGTGGCTGATTAATTTCTCTGTACTCTTTCCAGTCCTAAGTCTCTCAAACTGTGCTGTCTCTCCCATTATATACAAAGAAATAAGATGTCCAAGAACACCATAAATCACGCATGTACAGAAAATTCTAGGGAAAACAATTTGACCCCAAGAATGGTGCTAAGAAGTTCCAAGATAACACCCAAATGAAGAATACTATGAACACAGCACACCACCCCATCACCTGCACAGTCTATGCAGGAGACCTAATACCTACAGTACCCACTTATCACCTGTATGTTCTTTTATCTCTTTTTCCATGAAACTGTGAGCCAGGGTCACAACTCCACGTTGTAGCTGGTAGTGAAGGGCAATCTGAGCTGGACTGCTATTGTGATTTTTTGCCATGGCACCAAGAACTGGGTCCTTCAGAAGAAATGAGGCATTGGGGTCTACCCTGGAAGGAAAGACAGAAATGCTGAACTGCAGACGGAGTATTCTATTTGTTTGCAGAGCTCCAATATGCTTGAGGATGCCTGCTCTAGACCAAGTCATCAAATACAATCTCTTGAACCATCGGCATTACTCGTATGAGGGATCCTGTCAGAAATGCAATTCTCCCCTGTTCCTAAACCAATTCAAAATCAATGCCAGAAAACTAAGCACAGTAGAGCTCAAAATATTTGATTCAGAGTAGTGTTTTGGGTAAACATTTTATTGGATTACCATTGTTGAGTTCCCAGAGCACTATGGGCAACCAGGACAATGTACTTGGACTTGTAGAAATCCAACAGTTTGCTCTGGTTGAGATAAGGTTGACATTCCACCTGTAGATGAATATGACAGGAATTATATGCAAATTTTATGCATTGATCAAGAAGAAAAATTAAGAGTAAGCAAACTTGAATAAAAATGTGTTACATTCGATTTGAATTGAAATGATCAAAATAATGTAATGTTTACTTTCTAACAAATAAATTTACATATCTGTTACCTGTATTGGTCTAAAAATAAGTAATCTTCTTAAAGTAGACCACATCATATGCTAAATACCATTTACAGGGCAAAGAGGTATGACAAACTCTATTCGTGGGGCACAAAAGACTTGTCTGAAATGTGGACCTGGTATTTGAACAGAAATCAACAATTTGGTCAGTCACTCATGAGGGAAAACCTATAGGACAAAAGAACCATTTTGCTCCCCTACAGTATAACCCCTGCTTTCACTATATTTGATGTCAGTATAACTTGTGGAGGAGATGGGGAAAAACCAGTTGTTTAAGGATACAGGTGGACCTGTTGCAACAATGAGAAGTACAAGTTGTCATGTCCAAAACGAGCTTTACAACGTCGGTGCGGGGAGGGGGGGGGGAAGGTGGGGGAAGGAGAAGGATTGGCATTGGGGGGGAGGGGGGAGGCTGGGAAGGGATGTGAAGGGTAAACCAAAGGAGGAGGCTGCAATGCTTGGTAAGAAATGTACGCATTATCCTGCCCATGTAATTGTAACCCCTCTGTACAGTATGTTCACAAATAAAATTAAATTAAATTAAAAAAAAAAGAACCATTTTGGCAGGTATTCTGCTAGTGACACTGCTCAGAGTTTTGTTTTTTATTTTTCAGAGTGTTTTTCATGAAATTGAGTGCCAATGGCTAATGCTTATAACCCTATCGCTACTCAGGAGGCTGAGACATGAGAATTGAGGTTCTGAATCAGCCCAAACAGATCATTCTGTAAGACTCTTATCTCTAGTTAACCAGCAAAAGCCTGGAGGAGGAGACATGGCTTAGGTGGCAGAGCATCAACCTTCAGCTACAAAACTAAGAGAGAGAGTGAGTCCCTGAGAGTAAGCCATAGTTCTGTCCCATAAATAAATTATATGTACTCAATGGAATAAAAATGCATTAGCTCAATGGAATAGACCTAAATAAAGACGGTAAGTTAATTAAAAACTATTTGCCTTCTGATAGAGACTGTTCCTTTAACTCCTTTCTTAGAACACTATAAACTGAAAGGCAAGTATCAAGATTTTCTCTGTCTTATGGAAATTATTATACTTTATTCTGATATGTTGAGTAAATTTCGCTTTTAGTTAAATATCTGCTAAGGTAAGTAAACACAGATGTTAAAACAAACATTTTTTGATAGATCCTATGGCCTCTAATTTTTACAAAAATTATGAATGAATATTAAACTACTTGGTGAAATTGTCAAAGGACGTCCTTTATTGACAATGGTCAACATCTAGGCAACCAGTAATTGTCAGTCAGGAAACTATGTCTTCATGAAGGATACATCGAGGTGGGCCTACTTAATAAACAGATCAAATCAGTGGAAAATTTGAGTACAGACTGGATTTAAATGATGCAAATGAATTGTCGTTAATTTTTAGAATTCAGTCACAGAAAATGAACTATGTAAGGAAGTATTTTCATTCCAAAAAGACATCTGCTCAAGTCTCTAAAGGAGAATGTCCAGGTCTACAATGTTATTGAAGAGAACCAGCAAAACTACTACGGATGCGGATGAGGATCTAACTACATTAGTAAGGACAATGTCACCACATGTTGAATAATCGGCATGAAATTTGGAAAATATGAATATTCTGAGTGCTTGACAAATTTCATTACAAAAGTCTTGATAAAACTTATAATGAAACTGCCTTCACATTCATGTTGGGAAATCTTAGGATTGTTTCACTGTCCACAAATTTAAATAGTATGACCAGCTTTGTGTTCAAAACACTTTTACTTCACAACTGTAAGGACTTTAAGCTGTTGAAGACAGTATTATAGAGCCTCAAACCAGGCACAGACTAGATGTGATTTAAAAAAAAACAAAGTAGAAAAGAGGAGTTGACTTAGAGGTTTTCAGGCATTGAGTCAGCTCTGTGTTTTACTCTAAGTTTTCATGTATGGATTTCACTAAGATCCCCACCAACAGATATTTGATCTGTGTGATCATTTTGGCAGCCCCCACTTTACTCTACATGTACTTATGTCACTAGCCTGAAACCAGACACAACGGCACAAAGTACCAAATCACCCACTCAACAGGCCCTTCACATGGATCTCCACACTTCCTTCCTTCTACCACTGCTTCTTTCCAAGTTGGTGATTTTATGGGACTTCCTTGTTTTTTACACACTACACCATCGTCAATCCAATCTCGCCATCATTCATAGGCCAACAATAAGTACTTTGCCTCTGAAGTCTAATGACTGCAGCCCACCTTGATGACATTTACATCCTCCAGATTCTTCCATTCACTGGACACTATGAATCTCTCACTAGGCATAAACACAGTTGGCCATCCCCCCATCCTTGGAGACAATTGTAGTTAAAATCTTCCATTCCACAAAAATAAGTTAAACAGGGGAGAAAGTAAAAGTAATAGCTGGCAGAAACACAGCAACAGTCAGTGAATAAGAGACGGAGAAGAGGAAGGAGAAACTCACCTGGTTGCAGACAACCTTGTACTTGAGCCCTGGTTGTTCAGGATCCTCTCCGGTTGCCAGTGATTAAAGTTGGACACCCCAATGGACTTGGCCAATCCCGCATTTTTACACTTCTCCATGGCCTAAAAAGGAAGGAGTTCTGCCGATCCATCTATACCATTGGTTGAATCAACATAAATGCAAAATGGAGCTGATGAAGGAAACACTATCAATAAACAAGGAACTGACTACATATGATTGTTGGTAGAAAAATGGTCAAGACATTTGGAGAATATATTCACATGCAAAGAGAGAATTTTGTGTGCTCCTTGGAGAAATAGAGACATCACTGCATAAGGAAGCAATTGTCATCAATTCTGTTCAGACATTCATGTCTTTTACTTTCCACTAATGCTTCCTCTCCTATCACTCCTGCAAAACACCATTGTAAATGTCATGAGTTTCTAGATTTCAAGGGTACAGATTCCATTCTTGGAGTTGGAGACATGATCTGACTCTCGAGGCATCCTCTCAAGTCTATTCTTCAAGTACTCACCTCCCATGTGTCACAGAGATCCACTGTGTCAAATATGAATTTTCCATGCTCATCTTTCAGAAAGACTTCTTCTCCATGCTTCAATAAAAGCAGACATTACAGCAACCTCACCAAGCCCTGTCATCCTACCCAGAGCCGTGGTCCTTTGTACACTTCAGGAATGAAACAGCAAACGAGCATTAATGAAGAACTCCTCCACTTACTTATGCTTACAAAGATGCTTGAATGAGAGTAATAAGGAATGTCTTTAGGAGTCTAGGTAGTTGTAATCCCCTATCAATTATAAGTATTATTAAATATTGGTTTCACATCCCAAAGAGATCTCCCTGGGACTTGTGTTACTTCTCTGCTTCACTTTCTCCAGGGAAATACTTCTCTCTCACTGGGAAAGTCAACAATTACATGGCCTTGATCTTCCACAACAATGGATTTCAATCTTGATTCAGGATAATCAGTATTCTTTAGAGATTTGAATACATGTGAGGCCAAGGCAAATAAGTGAAGCCAGAAATGGTTAACCAAAAGTTGTCAGAGAGAATGATTCTAATACTGAAAGATGCAATCAACTTATCAAAGGGTAAGGGTCAGGACACATGAACTATCCAAATATTATTTGCCATAGCGGGCAACGCTGGGACAAAACACAAGCAGGCCTCTAGTAATAAAAATGTAAGTGATGAAGAAACAGAAATAGTTGAGGGCTGGGAAGGTGGCTTAGTGGTAGAGTGCTTGCCTTGCTTGCATGAGGCCCTAGGTTCCATTCCTCAGCACCACATAAGCAGAAAAAGCCAGAAGTGGCACTGTGGCTCAAGTGGTAGAGCACTAACCTTGAGATGAAGAGATGAGGGACAGCACCCAGGCCCAGAATTCAGAACCCATGACTGACAAAAAAAGAAAAATGAAATAGCTAAAGACTAAATCTAAATCTATCCATTCATTCACCTGTCCATTTACATAATTCAATAAACTCATATGAAATATCCTGGGTCATTCTATCAATTTTTTAACTAAAGCTTACATAAATTGATGATCAAAGCTTCTTCTCAATCATTTATGGAAATAATTATCGTGAACATATGCACTTATATGCTTCAGTTAGATGATGCAAATGGCCTACCTTCAATGAAATTGTAAAATGAGTAAGGTAGAGATCCACAAAATCCAACTGTAGTTTCTTCAGTGATCTTTCCAGACAAGGCCGGACTAGTTCTGGTCGATTGAATGTGCACCAGAGCTGCAAATGTTAAAAAATACAAATTGTGCTGGGTTGATGGTTTACCTCAATTGAGAAATCTGATTCACCAAATTCAGAGAAGTTTTATACTAGGAAGATACTGATGGCCATGGAGGAAAATTAATGCCTTTATTCTTAGGTTTTCTTGACCTGTCCCGGCCATGTCATTGTTAAAATAATTTGCTGAAC